ATGTATATTAGTGGGCATGTCTATCAGTCGTCGTGTATATTAGTAGGCCTGTATGTTAGTAGGCATATCTATTAGTGGGCGTGTCTATCAGTGGGTGTGTCTATTAGTAGGCGCATCTATTAGTAGGCATGTCTAATAGGCATGTCTAATAGGCATGTCTATTAGTGGGTGTGTCTCTTAGTGGGTTTGTCTCTTAGTGAGCGTGTCCCTCAGTGGGCATGTCTTTTAGTAGGCGTGGCTATTAGTGGACATGTATCTATTAGTAGGCGTGTCTATAAGTGGACATGTACCTATTAGTGGGCATGTCTATTAGTAGGTGTGTCTATTAGTACATGTATGTGTGTCTATTAGTAGGCATGTCTATTAGTATGTGTGTCTATTAGTAGGCATGTATATTATTAGTAGGTGTGTATATTAGTGGGCGTATCTATTAGTAATCGTGTATATTAGTAGGTGTGTATGTTAGTAGTCTTGTATATTAGTAGGCATGTATTTTAGTAGGCGTGACTGTTAGTAGGCATGTCTGTTAGTAGGCGTGTCTATTAGTGGGTGTGTCTATTAGTAAGAGTGTCTATTAGTAGGAGTGTACATGTATATTCGTAGGCATGTCTATTAGTATGTGTGTCTATTAGTAGACATGTATATTATTAGTAGGTGTGTATATTAGTGGGCATGTCTATCAGTAATTGTGTATGTTAGTAGTCGTGTATATTAGTAGGTGTGTATGTTAGTAGGCGTGTCTATCAGTGGGTGTGTCTATTAGTAGGTGCATCTATTAGTAGGCATGTCTGTTAGTAGGTGTGTTTATTAGTAGGCGCGTCTATTAGTAGGTGTGTCTATTAGTGGGCGTGTCTCTTAGTGGGCATGTTTTTTAGTAGGCGTGGCTATAAGTGGACATGTATCTATTAGTAGGTGTGTCTCTCAGTGGGCGTGTCTTTTAGTATGCATGGCTATTAGTGGACATGTATCTATTAGTGGGGTGTATAGTAGTAGGTGTGTCTATTAGTGGGCATGTCTGTTAGTAGGCGTGTCTATTAGGCATGTCTATTAGTGGGTGTGTCTGTTAGCAGGTGTGTCTATTAGTGGGTATGTCTTTTAGTGGGCATGTCTCTTAGTGGGCGTGTCTCTTAGTGGGTGTGTCTATTAGTAGGAATGTACATGTATATTAGTAGGTGTATCTATCAGTAGGCATGTCTATTAGTAGGTGTGTATGTTAGTGGGCGTGTCTGTTAGTAGGCGTGTCTATTAGGCATGTCTATTAGTGGGTGTGTCTCTTAGTGGGTTTGTCTCTTAGTGAGCGTGTCCCTCAGTGGGCATGTCTTTTAGTAGGCGTGGCTATTAGTGGACATGTATCTATTAGTAGGCGTGTCTATAAGTGGACATGTACCTATTAGTGGGCATGTCTATTAGTAGGTGTGTCTATTAGTAGGCATGTATATTATTAGTAGGTGTGTATATTCGTGGGCGTATCTATTAGTAATCGTGTATATTAGTAGTCGTGTATATTAGTAGGTGTGTATGTTAGTAGTCTTGTATATTAGTAGGCATGTATTTTAGTAGGCGTGACTGTTAGTAGGCATGTCTGTTAGTAGGTGTGTCTATTAGTGGGTGTGTCTATTAGTAAGAGTGTCTATTAGTAGGAGTGTACATGTATATTAGTAGGCATGTCTATTAGTATGTGTGTCTATTAGTAGACATGTATATTATTAGTAGGTGTGTATATTAGTGGGCATGTCTATTAGTAGTCATGTATATTAGTAGTCGTGTATATTAGTAGGCATGTATATTATTAGTAGGTGTGTATATTAGTGGGCGTGTCTATTAGTAATCGTGTATATTAGTAGTCGTGCATATTAGTAGCTGTGTATGTTAGTAGTCTTGTATATTAGTAGGCATGTATTTTAGTAGGCATGACTGTTAGTAGGCGTGTCTATTAGTGGGTGTGTCTATTAGTATGTGTGTCTATTAGTAGGCATGTCTATTATTAGTAGGTGTGTATATTAGTGGGCATGTCTATTAGTAGTCATGTATATTAGTAGGCATGTATATTATTAGTAGGCATGTCTACTATTAGTGGGCATGTCTATTAATGGGTGTGTCTATTAGTAGGAATGTACATGTATATTAGTAGGTGTATCTATCAGTAGGCATGTCTATTAGTATGTGTGTCTACTAGTAGGCATGTATATTATTAGTAGGTGTGTATATTAGTGGACGTGTCTATTAGTAGATGTGTATGTTAGTGGGCATGTCTGTTAGTAGGCGTGTCTATTAGGCATGTCTATTAGTGGGTGTGTCTATTAGCAGGTGTGTCTATTAGTGGGTATGTCTCTTAGTGGGCATGTCTCTTACTGGGCGTGTCTCTTAGTGGGCATGCTTTTAGTAGGCATGTCTATTAGTGGGTGTGTCTATTAGTAGGAATGTACATGTATATTAGTAGGTGTATCTATCAGTAGGCATGTCTATTAGTAGGTGTGTATGTTAGTGAGCGTGTCTGTTAGTAGGCATGTCTATTAGGCATGTCTATTAGTGGGTGTGTCTATTAGTAGAAATGTACATGTATATTAGTAGGTGTATCTATCAGTAGGCATGTCTATTAGTATGTGTGTATGTTAGTGGGCGTGTCTGTTAGTAGGCGTGTCTATTAGGCATGTCTATTAGTGGGTGTGTCTATTAGCAGGTGTGTCTATTAGTGGGTATGTCTCTTAGTGGGCATGTCTCTTACTGGGCGTGTCTCTTAGTGGGCATGCCTCTTAGTGGGCATGCTTTTAGTAGGCATGTCTATTAGTGGGTGTGTCTATTAGTAGGAATGTACATGTATATTAGTAGGTGTATCTATCAGTAGGCATGTCTATTAGTAGGTGTGTATGTTAGTGAGCGTGTCTGTTAGTAGGCATGTCTATTAGTGGGTGTGTCTATTAGTAGAAATGTACATGTATATTAGTAGGTGTATCTATCAGTAGGCATGTCTATTAGTATGTGTGTATGTTAGTGGGCGTGTCTGTTAGTAGGCGTGTCTATTAGGCATGTCTATTAGTGGGTGTGTCTATTAGCAGGTGTGTCTATTAGCAGGTGTGTCTATTAGTGGGTATGTCTCTTAGTGGGCATGTCTTTTAGTAGGCGTGGCTTTTAGTGGACATGTATCTATTAGTAGGCGTGTCTATAAGTGGGCATGTACCTATTAGTGGGCATGTCTATTAGTAGGTGTGTATCTATTAGTAGGAATGTACATGTATGTTAGTAGGCGTGTCTATTAGTAAGCATGTCTATTATTAGTAGGTGTGTCTATTAGTAGGCATGTCTATTATTAGTAGGTGTGTATATTAGTAGGCATGTCTATTAGTAATCGTGTATATTAGTAGGTGTGTATATTAGTGGGCGTGTCTGTTAGTAGATGTGTATATATGTGGGTGTGTCTCTTAGTGAGCGTGTCCCTTAGTGGGCATGTCTTTATTAGTATCTATTAGTAGGCATTTATATTATTAGTAGGTGTGTATATAGTGGGCATGTCTATAAGTAGTCATGTATATTAGTACGTGTGTATGTATGTTAGTGGGCGTGTCTGTTAGTAGGCGTGTCTATTAGTGGGTGTGTCTA